CACATTTTCATGCACTGCTGCAGGGTAGTCCTGATTGGACAGGTACCAGCCTCAACATCCTGTTTCGATCTCTTTCTTCCAAGACCCTGAGAACTAGGAGGGACTTTGCCTGATCCAAACAAAGATGCAATAAATCTTAACTAACACAAAGATGTTCAAAATAGACTGGTTTATTCTACCTTAAAGACAAACTTATTCTGGGTATTCTCGAGACTAGAAACCGTTTAAGACATGATTCTTCCAATAAGGAACTTAAAACTTATTTAGGAAAGTCAGACATGCAATTGAAAAACATGTTGCAATAATAAATATGTTTCTGAATTTCATAGGCCAGGTTCCAAAAATTGGCCTTATGAATTTTCCACTAGCATGGTAGGGGGGAATATCTCCACCCATGGCACTAAAACTTGTTTACATGTTTATGGCTATGGGAGATTCAGGTCCAGCCCAGGAGAAGTTCTGGTTCCCAGGAGATAAGCTGAGTTTATGATCATAAGGAAGGGAGTGAATGTAGCCAGTCTTCCTGGCACCAGAGGAGTGAAGATTGAGAAACAAAGATATTCTTATTAGTGCCACTGGAGCTATATAAAGCACCAGAGATGACTGGTTTTAAATTGATAATATCAATTATCATTTATTAAAGTTGTCATACATTAAAATTTATAATTTATCAAAGTAAATGGCTTTTCTTTGTAATTTCTAGATGGCCAATGTGGTTAATGCTTTTTAGTGGAGAAGGTCACTGAATTCGTTTTGAATTCCTGACTGCTGAGACTGATTCCAAGAAATGATTCTATTGTGCTGGAAGCTCATGAGCCACCCAAATTGGCTAAAACAATGTATGTAAATAGATGTAAAGAGGCAGTCTATTATTGGAATAGACAGTGAATTGTTAAGCACAATGGTAGGTAGGCAAAGATTCAGGCCTTAGAAGATGGCATTATGCTTTATAATTAAATAAATTTTATATAAAATCAAAGGGAAACAAACGAAAACCAAATATATGTTACTTAAAACTTCACATTACAAGGTCTAGATTTTCTTATTATCTTACCACAGCTAACATTCTTATCAACTTTCCAGGTCCTTTTAAGTTCCAGATTCAGCCTGGGAACTCTCTGGCCTTATTTCTTTCTCTTCCCCTCCCATCCACTGGAGTCCTCTTGGTCACCAGAAAGAATGGGAGAGAGGTGGGGGGAAAGGTGATATCATCACATATGTGAAAATTTATGTGATTGCTATAGTATTTTCTGGACTGTATTTTCCATAGCAGTTTCCTTAATGTCAGAAGACAGTTAAGATACAAGTTTTACATATAGACTGTCCTTGCATTATATGGCCACAGTAGGTTCAGTCAGCTAAGACTGAGCAGTTGATACTGAACCAGATTTAGAATGAAAAGATTAAAGCACTGTTCTTGGGTGCAAACTAAATGGGGTGCCAGAAAATTCTGAAATTAAGATAACTAACATTTAAAAATGTAATACAATATTTAAAAAACAAAATGCAGAAATTCATGAGGCACAAGATGGTAACATTTTAAGTAAAGAGAGGATGGTGTTGTTTGTTTTATGGCCTGTGTTTTCAAGCAATGAAAAAGAGCCATTTTGGACCCTTAGCTTTTGTGTCCCTCACTGTGTCCTCACTGGTAAATTTATGTGGTTGACAATGAGGTGGGAACAGATGGTACAAAGCAGAGCTTTATATGAAGTCATGTTTTTTCACTTCGAAGTTTGTATTATCTTTTCTAACTTGGCTTAAAATATGGAAAGGTATTTTGGTAAGAATATTTAAGGACACAGTCTTCCTTTTGCCCTCAGGCTTCAGCACTGATATTAAATAATCCACTCACCTTCTTAAGAGGGCAGTGAGTAGGGAAGGAAACCTCCTGTAGAAAAGGCTGAGTGTGGAACAAGCAATGGCAGATATCTTTGTGTTTTCTTTTTGTTATTGTTGTCGTTTGAACTCAGGATACTTTACCACTGAGCTACATCACCAATCCTTTTTAGTTTTCATTTTGAGACAAAGCTTGCTAAGTTACTGAGGCTGGCCTTGAACTTGTGATCCTCCTGCCTCAACCTCCTGAGTAGTTGGGACCGGGATTACAAACTCACTACACCACACCAGCTAATGACAAACATTGTTAGACTATTGCTCATAGGGCAGGGGATCTGTAACCCACTAGGATTAACAAGATGGTGACAGAAATTATCCTTGTGATTCAGATGGTGAATTGAAGGTGAAATTTGGAGGGACAGTATCAAGTCCCATGGTAAGATCATTCCTCTGTATTTGAAAATTCCTCTTCCAATGTTAATTTATCAAAAAAGTACATTGTGATATTGAAGATATTACAGGACCATAGAAGATTGTGAATTGATGTTAAATGTCTGGAATGTAGGAAGAGATCTGAGGCAAACAGCACAGTGAACTACCGCTTAGAAAATTGTAATAAAATATTGATGAAAATTATTAAAGAATATTTAAAGACTGAGGATGTAACTCAGTTGTTAGAGCACATGTCTAGCATGTGCAAGTAGGTTTTGTGTCCTGAGGTTGTTGCCCACTTGGGACTTCACTTGTTTTCTAGGAAGTTAATGTTTGTCATCTCTATTCCTTTCTCATAGTCATTCTGATCCTTCTAACCACCACAATTACCACCAACACACACCAAGAGTTATTCCCTATAAACAGAACCTTCTAAGAAAAACACTTATATATGTATAATCTCCATTGGTTCTGTTTCTCTGGAGAACTCCATGGCTAATGTTTTGCTGTTTCTTGGATTATTATGCCTAGTGTGTGAGTAATGGTAGTGACTTGGGATTTTAAATATCATAATACACACACACACACACACACACACACACACACACATACATACATACATACATATTTTTCTCCATGTTTTGTTTTCACTTAATGTATTACATCATGTTTTTTTCTATATCATAGAGTTGTTGGTAAACAATTTTGAAATGTTGGGTAATAGTTTATAATATGGATATGCTATTTCCTTATTAATGGACTTCTGGTTATTTTCAGGTCTTTTTGCTGCCATACAAAAAGCTGCTATTAACATTTTTGAATGTCAAGTTTGTCCTGATTTCTAATTATTTTCTTGGGGTAGATTCTTAGAGAATTACTTGGTCTGGTTCATGCTCTGGCCAACAGTACCTGGGAGTATCTGGGCCACTTGGGCAATTTTGCATTCTCTAGCCTTGTGACAGCATTTCAGATAGTGAGGATGATTAAGGTGCAGAGAAGTGATTTAAGCAAGTATGCTTATCTGCCCCTCCCATCATCAGAATCTCCCTAATGAGGCTCAGGTCTTTATAAGACTTTCATAGGAATTTCAATGGTCATTCATGGCTGCCAACCACTTGAGAGCCTCACATATACTTTTGAAGGCTGAACACTATGCATTTTTAAACTCTTCTCCCAAGTACAACCATCTAGGAAAAAAACATGTATTCTTCAGTGACCCCCCCCCCCAATGGATTTTGTCTGTTTTCCATCTTATGTTCACTTTTGTGTCAATCATGTTTGTTCTTCTGGGTCCTCCCATAATCATGCTTTTGGTAGTATTTTTATGCTATTTCAATTGGTCTATTGATGGTCCAGTGTCAGGAAAAGGAAAAATATCCTCTATCTAAATGTCTGTGGGCCCACACTCCTCCTCCCAAGCACTCACCTAGAGGCTGAATCCTTCTGCCTTGAAGACAGGCTCTGAGTTGGTCTTCTTTCAAGAACTGGTTTGCTTATCCTCTTTCCTGTGATTTTTCTCTTCTGAGATCATTGAACCATATGAAACTACTCCAGACCCTCTTTTGATCACTGTCATTCCTAAGAACCTCTGGACCCTTCTCTTTATCATTCTTATTAAAGCAACTCATGGACAGTAACCTTCTAGAGTCTGGGTTGGTATTGTGACTTTTGCTATTCAACAATAAATATTGATGAAAATAATAGTTATTCACTTTCTCTGTGTAGGATTATTTTGCTTTTAAGTGAAAGGTTACTAAGAAATAGATTTTAAACCTAAAGAAACAAATTTTCACAGATGGTATTTTGCAAATGGGGTTCTATTCTGGTAGGGAATTTTGAAGACATTGGTCAGGCTAACTTGTGAAATGAATCAAAGAAATGAAAACTTGATACATTAATTAAAATGGAACTCTTGAATTATAGATAAAAGTTCATGTTTATAGCTACCTTCAAATACTTAAAAGACTTGTACTTTTTATGAGGTATGAAATTTACAATTTAACAACTCTGTTTTAGCTTTCTGTTGCTGTGACTAAAATACCTGACACAAACAACTTAAAAAAGAAAGGGTTTATTTGGCTCATGGTTTTAGTTGATGGTTGACAAGCTCCACTGCTCTGGGCCTGAGGTGAGGCAGACCATTATGGGAGAAGGGCATGTTGGAGGAAAGCTGCTCTTCAACTCATGGCAATAGGGAAGTGGGGTGGGGGTGGATGCGTAAGGCAGGGACAAAGAAAAAGATAAAATCCCCAAGGACTTGCCCCCAGTGACCTACTAGCTCCTACAAGGCCCTACTTCTAAATTTTTATCACCTCCTCATAATGTCATCAAATTATTAATCCATCAGTGTATTATTCCATTGACCCAATCGCTTCCCTAAAGCCTCACCTATGAGTATTATTGCATTGAGGACCAAATCTATAACATATGAATATTTGGGAGACACTTCATATTTAAATCACAACACTAATACAAGACATTAATAATGGGGGAAACTGGGGGAAACTGAGGGAAATGGGAAAAGAAGTGTATAAGAACTCTGTCTAGTTTCTATTTGATTTTTCTATAAATGTAAAATTGCCCTAAATACAAATTCTATTACTTTTTAAAAGTTCAACAACTCTATGAGGTTGGCATTTTCATTTTGTAAAGGAAAAATCAGAGCCTCAGAGCAAAGCTGAATGTAGACTGTGATGATTTATGACCTCTACTATTCTTTTCTGTCCTTACAGAAGGAGAATCCTAAGCTGGCTTATTTGCTTCACATTCATCTTCAAGGGCTTTGGACAAATTTGTCCCCGAGTTAGGAAGAAAAAAAAGCAACAAGTTTCAGCAAAGAGTCAGCAGAGGAGTTGTACAAACTGAGAGAACTCAAATCTTCTTGTCTTTATTTTTCTTTTCAATCATGAGAGCATAACAATGGTTTAGCGTCTTTCAGCACTCCAAGTTAGTACTAAACAACTGAACCTAAGTGGCTCTACTTTTGTATGTGGAGATTTCCCTGTGCGAAGAATAAAGAAAATCATTCTTCTCAGACCTAGGAAAGACTCCAGCAGCTCCATCAAAAAAGTCACCATTCCTTTGTGTGATGGCTCAGGAGGCAGGAAAATAATCTGAGAGCCTGCAATACTTTTAGCAGGCATCTGGCATCTGAAGCAAGACCATGTCTCCAGAAAACTGCCTTCTCTTTCAGCCTGGTAACTATGGACACTAGCCAGAGTGATTTTGGCCCATATTCGTCCTTTCTGAATTCCTCTAAAGAGTAAGGGAGGGAAAGAAGGAGAGGTGTTTTTTTTTTCTTTTTGGTAAATTAAAATAAATAAAAATATCTACTTTTGTAGGTTAAAAACCCTTGGATAAGTAAAAAGCTCTGATTGTATGCATCGAAAGCCAACTATTTGGTAAATGTAAAAACACACAATCTTTTTTTACTCTTTAAGATGGGTTGAGACTTCATGGTTCTGAAGCCAGGGCACACAGATTCTAGCTTACCTTCTCTGGTCTGGCACCTTTCTACTGCTGGCAATAAGCATGGCTTTTACAGTGAGATTTTGAAGAGAGGTCTGAGTTTGATTAACTGTGCCTTTATGAATAACATCCTCAGAGAATTGAAGGCCGTGTTCAGATTCTTGACTGCAGCAGCCATGGAGACTTGCTGTACAGCTGAGCTGCTCCTTGCAGCAGAGGATTCTCACAGGTCATAACTCTCTCGACCTGTACCAGTCATCACCTTTTTTTTTTTTTTTTTTACAGGGTGATGGTACTAAAATTTTCATTTTGCTCACTGCTTAACTGATTTGCCTGTTTACTGAGAAGCATCAAGTCCATTTTGATATGTAATTCATTTCCTACTGGGAAGTAGCTGATCAGACATAGACTTGAGATGTTCTCAGAGCATGAAAATGTAGCTAATTAGAGGTTAAGGTAAATGAAGAGAAGAGGAAATTTTGTAATAATTATTTTCATCTCATGTACTTCTTACTACTTCAGTCTTCGACTCTCCCTCAGAGAGGTACTGCTGGTGGAGTATTCGAATCATGGAGAATCAGCCTTGGTAACATGTTCAGGCCACACCCATCACCATGGGCAAATCCAGCTACTGGATGGAGGAACTTTCCCAGTTGGTCTGTCTGCCAGTTTGCGAATGCAATTGAGTGGAAAATCAAATGGCAGTTCATGTTTTTTCCTTCTCAACAGAGACCACCAAAGGGGGAAAAAAGCCATTAATCTTTCCTGTGTTAATTGAGAACACTGGATACCATTATGAAACCATTTCCCTTAGAGTCATTTGAATCTTAGTTCAAGTTTGTTGAACTTGTAATTGTAGTAGGCGTAATCATGTCACATTGTACTGCATTACAGTGTAATTGCTTTTCATTCTACATGGTTCATAAAGCAAAATAAATTTTGAATAACCAATAGTGTGGATTATAATTAGTGTATGAATATGTTTTCAGAAGAAGAAAATATTCCAATTGCAATACAAGTCATTGGTAATTCAGTAAGTTTTCTTTTCACTGTACTATTAAAGATGCAAGACATTCACACTATGCTATGATAGGCTATCCCCTTCCTGCAGAAGAGAAATAATCTCAGCACTATCATATATGTATGTGTTTGGGGGGGGGGGTAAAAAGAGTGATTTCTTGATTTTTTTAAATCAGCAATTTATCTATGAGAATAATTTCTAGAAGAAAAGTCAACTTTATGGAGTTCAACATAGTGGGGAAATACAGATTGGTTAAGCCAAATTGTCAAGAAGATTTTTCTCTGCAGTTCTTATCCAATGTTCTTTTAGGAACTTCTCTCCTCCTACCCTAGGTACCAAACACAATACCCTAATATCTACTCTAGTACAATACCCTGTCAGGTTTGTTACACAATACCTCTTGCTCTGGATCTTCTTGATATCTGCTATCTCCTCACCTTCTTCATTCAACTGTATTATCTATTCTTTTAGAAACATTTGTCAAAGAGCTATTAACAGTGTTTCATTGAGTTCCAGACTTCTCATGAGCACCAATAAAGAAAGATATTCAGACTTCTATAGATACTTAATTTCAACTCAGAAGTCCACATTTAACCAATGTATTACTAAAATGGAAGGCCATAATGAAAATTTTCTTCACAAAGGCAAATCAAGAACACTGGATATTTAACTACCTAGACCCTTTCTTAGAAAATTACTTTGGTATGTCCCCAGTAAAACAAGAGAGTAATCAAGAAAAGAAAAACATAGTTTTTAGGAACTATTGGATTAAGAAGGAAAACAGTGGCATCTTGTCCTAGAGTCATTAACTTGCTATAGTCCTAGAAAATCCAGATTTGGGAACAGAGGAATGGAGCCCTCCAACTCTGAGTAAAAAAAATTTGAAGTTATGATGAAGACAAAATACAAATTGTAAGAACAAAGAAAATCTATTCCAACTTGACTGTGGGATCATTTTTCTTTAATTATTGTAGGAGTTATGATATTGGATTATGACACCTATATGACATGTAACAAAAAAATGTAAATATAGCATACTATTGAATAATTTTTACATAGGCACAATGTAAAGATTATTTGTTTTCTTTCATCTTCTAATTAAATCATAAAGCACAGAAGATAATTATCATTCTAGAATAGAATATAAATATTTTTATCTTTGAAGAAGGGAGGAGATATGGAAGCAAGTATTGATGCACTAATGTTGTCATTTTACAAAGTTTGAAGTTGAAATATACTTTGTTCTTGATGGAAGCAGGCAACCTTCAAGAGTGTGGTTTAAATTTGTAACATGACCAGTGGAGAATTGGACAGCAACAGCATATTGTATCAAGATTAGGCAGTATGTTAGTCAGGATTCCTGATTGTAAGCAACAGAAACCAACTCTGGCTCATTTAAGAAGTAAAAGTAGGGGCTGGGATTATCAATCACTGGTAGAACACTTGCCTAGCATGCGTGAGGCATTCGATTTGATCCTCAGCACCACATAAAAATAAAGGTATTGTGTCCAAATGACATGGAGTACTGGGGAATCTGTGGCTTTGTAGTCAGGAGTAAATTTAAAATACACACAGCATAATTAGCCTAATAGCAGAATTCACTTTATCATTATGCATAAGGCAGTACAGATTATATTATACATGTAGCTTGCCCAGGAGGCTGGATTCTTCAGTTAGCATTGCTGCCACCACTACTCAAAAACACAATTTTACCACAATTGTGCCTCTGGGTCTTCACTCTACTATCTACTGATTCCATGTCTGGGGTGGAAAGTTGGCTCTGTAGAGCCTACTTCACATGCATGAACCCAGGTGCAAAGAAGTCTTGATAAAGGGACTATCTGGTGTTTTCAATTGCTTTGGCAAGAAGCTACCTTTGCATCTCATCTCATCAAAAGAGGCATTCCCCAAATAGTAATAATGTTCAAATATTGGGAAATTAAATAAGAAATGAAAAAATAAAAAACAAACATACAAACAAAGCAAACAGATGTCCATTAAAGGTTGGGAAGACAAAGTAAGTATTGGTTTAAAGGAGCTAAATTTTCATCTATCGTAATAGGAATCAATGAAATTTTTCTCTAGATGATACACTTAAAAAGTGTTACAAGTATTATTTAGGCATATAGGGATAATCATTCAAATGATATAAGATAAAAAGTAAAAGTGGTTGTTTTAGGAGAAGTGAGACTTGGAGAATGATAGGAGAAATTAGGAAAAGTGTTGATTTTCACTAGCAGTCTTTCTCCAACATGGTGAATTTATTACCATATATAAATATTACTGAGAAAGAAAAATGCTTCAGTTCAAAAAGAAAATTTAAAGTGAATTTTGGTTGTGTATAATAAATGAATGACAAGAAAACAACTTTGAGATTAATAATACTCCTGAAAAAGTAAAATTCTATGACTCTTTGCTGATTTTATCATACATTTTTATCCCTAACATCCTAAATTGCAGAAGATACAACTAGATAATTATTTACTGAGTGGAAAAATGAGTGTAAGGAAGTAGTACTTTATATCTAATAATAATATCAAGAATATGAACTTAATTATGTCATGAGGTTCTATTTGTGAGACTACCTAGAGAGTTAGACTTAGGAACCATCAAATGATTCCTCTCTGCAGCCCTGTTCTTAAAGGCAAATGAAACTCTTTGAGGAATTTAAGCACCAGTTGACCTTTGACCAATCTTATCCACCTGGAGAAAAAGCATATGGAGGTTTGATAATAGAATGTCAACTTCATAAAAACAAACACTTGATAAGGATTTACAGTTAAACTCAAGTTCAGCCTTTATTGCTTAAACTAGCCCTCCATGTATCCTTCCCATAATTAAAAAAAATGCTTTCAGAGTTAAAAGAATGGAGATATATATAAGCATTTATCAATGGATCAATAAATATTTGTTGAATAAATCCAATTTGTAGAGAAGTAAATGAATGCAGTTAAAACATATAAAAGAGAATTAAATAGAAGTAAAAGGAATTAATAGGGATAGAATTAGAATGAAAAATAATACTGAAAATTCTAGAATAAATTTATGTCATTCCTATAGGAATTATAAAAATACTAAATTGTGCCATTTTTTGGGGGGGCAGAAATGTTCCTATCCAAATGAACTCATGAGAATTGTGAAGAATAGGGAAGATTCATAGTGCATTCTTTGATCAGGAAGTTGAGACCTGGACAGGTAAAGATAGGGGAGGGAATAAGAGTAGGGGGTAAAGATGTTGGAAAATCTATGTGGCCCCAGTGTTACATGAAAAAATGAGTAGTGTCCAGGCTATCTGTCAGCCTCTCTTGATCCTATAGTCTGGTAGGGGGTATGATGGAGGGGGGGCGCGATGAGGAGATAGGAGAGCTAGATGACAGCAATGATTAGATAGAAATGAGCTTTCTTTTGGAGGAGAAAAAGTCACTTCCGTGCTAAATTTCATTTTTTTTTTTCAGAAGGGAAATACCAAAGTTAAAGAGAATTTGTAGCCATTAATTAGAGAACATAAAAGCATAAACTATTTTTCCCCCTAAGAACAAAAAAGGTTTGGGCTTCAGAACACTCATGTTTTATTTCACCGTTCACAGTGGAGGGCCATCTGGTACAGTCCCGGTCCGTCCCAGTGCTGGACTGGCTGGGTGTGGCAGGTGAAGTCATCCCTGTCTTCATAGAGCTATGGGTCTGGAGGTGGAGGAGGCTGCCTGCACTAAGCTTCTCCTATTCCACATCCCAGTCTGGGGTTTGAACTCAGGAACCAGTCACTAGGGAACTCTTCTCTCTCTGGTATTCACTGTAGGGAGAGTGTGGCCTGGGAGTGGAAGGTGCAGACTTTCCTCATCAGGGCCAGGATTATGTAAGCTACAGCTTTTTTATCACCACAAGGGTGTGTCTCCTGAAGTTGGCAAGGAACACAATAATAGCTTTCAAGTGTTTCATTTTAAAATTTCAATAAATACATTTAATAATATTTTTTGGTTAGGCTTTTGAGATTTTATTAATTTTTTAAAATTTTGTGTAGCCTAGGAGCATAACATATTAACCCCATCAACACCAGAAGTCGAGAAAACATCTTGAACAAGCTCTCTAGAACACAAATTTGTTTAGCTATAAAATTGTTTTGCTCTTTTCTAAGGCTCTTTTCATTTAACATTCTTTGATTCTATTAATTCGCAAATCCATTTTATTTTCTTTGTATTATTTACAATTTTATCTCTAATGAGAGACATTGCTAACGATTTCAAGTTTTAAGCCAAAGTAAAAATTCAACTCCTATCATTCACTCTCCCTCCCCAATGAAAAATTCCTTGATTACATACACATATAGGTCTGGGAGATGGATACAAATAAATCATTTTGTGTGTTTTTTACTTAAAAATAAATATTCACATTACAGAGCCAGAAGTGCAACAACCTAAATGTCTATGAACTTATGGATGAATAAATTAAATGTAGTATACTCATGCAGTGTAACAGTATTTAGTAATAAAAAGAAACAGAGAGTGATGCATTCTACAACTACCATGAATGTGGAAAACATCCTAAATGAAAGAATAGCAGATCAGTCACAGCAGACCACATGTTGTATGATTCCATTTACACAAAATGTTCAGGCTAGGCAAATCCATAGGGACCAAAGTAGATTAGGGGTTGCCTATATAGGAAAAGGAAAAAAAAGTCTTTGTACCATAGCTGGGGCTATGGTACAAAGACAGATTAGCGAGAGGAAAACATACAGATTTACTTCATATAAGTTTTACATGACATAGGAGCCTTTGTAAGAAAATAAAATGTGGAAGAACCCATAAATTTGAGTGTTTTTATAACTGGATTTGATGAATGTGGAAAATGATGGCAAAATGTGATGGGATAAATCAGTACAAGCTTAGGGTTGTAAACTGGGGCAAGCTTGGCAGGGCCTGTTTGTTCAGATTC